TGTACTGGGTGTAAAACATTTACTGAATCATAGTAAAACTAAAAGCGAAGTAAACTATCTAAATGTAATGCACAAGTTTAAGTACTGCATCTGATTATTACCTTCAGTCTTAGCTACTCTTGGAGTGATATAGTTTTTCATGGTGTAAATTGATTAGGATACCAAAATGAGTAATTTCATAACATAATTTCTAGTTTTATAATGAATTTAATGTGGGCAAAGAAATATTAAGTACCTGGGGTATCCCTACTTGTATATAAAGACTGTGTATAATTAAAAATTATAATTGTATATTATGAAATTATTTCTATTTGGGCAGCATAATCAGCTTACATTTTTTAGTGTGTGTGTTCTTTGAACAATAACTATTATTGTGAAATTGGAAAAAAATAGTTCAGCAGCTGTATGTAGAGTGTGTTTTAAACTGTGTCAATGACATATTATTGACACTATTAGTTAGAGCTGGGCAATTAGTGGTATTTCTTAATCAATTAACTAACTGCCCCATTAATTGATTACATTTGGTTAGTCAGTTAGTACAGTATTGATCAAACCATGGTATGTACATATAAAGAACAACAAGAAAAAATAAAGTTGGTGGCAGCTAGCCAGTTGCTTTCTCTTGTTAGCAGTTCAAAGTTAGTGACAGTGGCAGGTGGTCCTAGAAGCTTTGCCATAACAGAAAGAGGGTGAGTGATTTTGATGGTGATGGCAATCCAACCAAAGATCCTCAAATTAAGAGCCCCCTCCCAAAATCACCAAAACTTTATAAACTTCAGTTTTAAAAAAACAACAATTTGTAAGACTAAAATTGAGTTGAGCACAGGTAGCCCATTAATTAATTTTTGTTTAATAACAAACATGAAGTTTCAACTATGTGGATAGTTGGAGTAATCAAAAATCACTAACATGATTAATCAGTTTAAGTATAATTTCAATTAATTGATTAGTCAATGTGACATAGGTAATTGATTATATTGATTAATCAACAAAATCACTTAGCCCTACTACTAGTAATATGTTCTTTACATTACCAGTAACATAACTGATAGTCAGAATTTGGCCAACAGCATGATTTTAATGATTAAATAATGAACAAATTCAATGAAGTTACTTTATCTTTCAGACAGAATATCTTTTCAAAGCTCACTTCTTAGTGGTCTTCAATCAGTTTTGTACTAAAATAATGATTATATATATTTTTTGGAATCACTAATTCAGAATGACATTACAGATATGTTTTAACCAACAGTCTACACTTTAGTCTTATTCACATTGCAGTGCTATACAAATATAGCTATAACTTTCTTGAGTGATAGGTGTCTTCTAAATGTTTCACAACAAAATATCTTATAGTTATACTGACTGTATTGGCTTAAACTATAAGTATCAAAATATTCTTGCTAAAGAAGTTTAGGTACCTGTTTCTTCACTATGTTGATGTATAGAGGGAGCACAGGGGCTACTCAGCTTTCTTTGTTTTCATGGAAATCCTCATATGTTCATTGGCTCTAGGAAACGGGACAAGAACTTATCCTAGCAAATTTCAACATCCTTTGCAAAGCCAACACTGATCTGTAATTACTGATTAAAGAAACCCTCCATATCAAACAACTTTCACCAACAATGAACAACATGCAGTCTTTGTTTAAATTGCACATTTTCTAATATGTACAGTATTTTGTTTCTTATTCATTCAATTTTTATATTGTTGTAGTTTTGATTAAATTACTGTTGTTATAGCAATGTATTTTAGTTACTTAGGAATGATGTAATTCTTGTATTTTGCTTTAGATACTGAAGATGCTTATCTGTGTCCCCTTGTATTATAAATAAACAATGTTGTTTATCTTGAGTATTGTTATCCTTTTTAATGTGAAAATAGATAGTGATGGTTAAAAAATTTTATTAGGTCAGGATTTTGCTAAAGAATTAATGTTTGTTTGGTCAGTTTTTATTGTGAAGTGTACAAAAGTCCTCTACTGATCAGGAAAGTATGTAAGCTTACTAAAGCATATTGTTAATGATTATTGTAATACTAGGATATGTTTCATTGCAATAATTTGGAGTCACAATTCTCAAAATTGCAATATAGATATATTATATCAACAAATAAATACTAGGTGTTTTGTTTAATGATGTTCATTGTGAAGTTTTTGTATAAAGTATTATGTAGTTAAATGCCAAGAGTAATTTAATGAAAAAATAAGTAAAAGGGCACAGCAACTAGAAAGGTTTTTAAGAAAGACCCAATACAGATGGGTCAACAACTAAAAACAAATGTTATAGAGAAATTTATAAAGAGGGTGTAAATTAATCTTCTTATTACATTTCAAGTGACTGTTATTTTTAAAAGTAACCCAGTCTTCTATAAAAACTTTTTTCTTTTTAAATTTTAAATTTAATATCCCTAAATAGAATGAAAGCAGCTTGACATTTAATATCATGGAATTCATCATATGCATGTTCTCTAATAGATGAAAAAAAAAGTATGACCTTGCACTAGGCTCTTTTCTGTTCATTTTGTCAAATTGTGTAAAAATTCTGACTTATTTAAACATTTTCTCAATTCATTCAAGGAGTATAATAGACAACATTATTTTGACATTCTTTGTGAACTATGCAAAATAAAAGAAGTTGGCATAATTCTGATGATGATAGCCAGTAAATTCTTGAAAAGTTAAGTCTTTTCTTTAAAAAAAATCTTTAATTTGGTCTGTTTTTTTTTTAGTTATTTAGTAAGTGAGGCAAAATAGGTAAAAATAGTAAGCATAATTTTTAAACTTGGTATTGTAAGAATGTCTCCATCAGAAACTTTGTGGTGAGGTATATAAGAGACTTATGTTTATTAACATGAGGTTTATAATTTTTCATAGAATTGTGAATAAGGTAAAATACATTTAGTATTGGTTAACACATTCCTTCCAAGTTATTCTGTAGTATTCAAAATAGATTTTGTCAAAGTGTATGGATAATCTCTTTCCTAAAATATGTAGGAAAGAATTTGAAACTATATGATTTGTTTGCTTATCAAACATGAAGAATAAAAGAAAAATCATTGTACTTTGTGTGGTCATATTTATGACATTATTCAGAAACTTTACTAATATTTAGTTTGAAGAATAAGCTGAGAAAAAGTTGCATTTGCTTCCTTAATGTATCTTGCATTGGGCACAATACCAAATTATGTAATATTTAATAATTATTCTTGAATGATGAACTGTTATTTAAATGGAATGAAAGTTTAATTGTGCCAAAAAAATATATATATAAGGAAGGAAATTCAACAATCTGGATGTGAGTCTGATATTTCAGGTCTTGAATTTAACATCTGTTTTGTGGTAGCCAGCCAGGCTAATACAGTTAGAAATCTATTAGTCTTATGGGACTTCTACTAGCCTGTCACAAAAAGTTAGCCACTATTGCAACAACATGACTGGTTTCTTGAAGGAGGTTAGTTAATTGCAAAACTGTTCTGCTGTTGATTTGTGCAACTAGTAAAAACAAAATTATAACATTTTTGACATTTATTTTTCAATATTTTACTTAATTTTTACAAAGTTGTCAAAGAAAAGAATTTATTTTCATCAACCACTTTCACTGGAAGAAACAGCTTTGTTGTCAAAATTTATCTAAATGTTTTTTTTACTTTCTTAAGGTCTGTAGTCCATATGAAACTTTATCTAGCATTCCAAATGCATTTCAAAAATCCTTGTCTCTGATAGTATAACAGAATCACTGTTTACACATTACATACAAATTGTGAAAGATATTGGGTGTATTCACCAAACTAGAATTGACATTATCATTGCCAAGGTACTACATCACTCCGGAAGGCACTGCTTTGTTTTCACACTTATTTAGTCTATTATCTAAATAGTCTGGATCAAGTTTCAGGAAGGGATCCCATTATTCTTTTACATTTTCACTGCCCTTAGTTTGTGGTCCATATGGGGTTTGATATGGCTTTCTTGCACATATTACAAACACATTCCAAAGATTTATGGCTGTTGTTGTATCATATAGTTTCATGTCCTCTGTGTAGAGCATAATGAAAAGGTCTGATAGGACTTTTGGCCTGATCTTCACTTACTGTTTATCAGCTTTATCTCAGAAGGACCCCTTTTCTGCATTAGCAGAGTGGGATGAGATATATATAAACAAGATGTTCTAGCAGTAAACATTGCATGACTTAGCGACTGTGAACTAGTTCGAAACATGATATACTTTACCTGCAGTAAGTGAAATTAATCAGTTATTATAAGGTTTCAATTTGGGTATCAATAGGTCAAGCTGTGTTTTTAGGTATCACATCTGACCAAAATTAGTAAATGGATCTAATAAAACTTTCCAGTGCTTTAGAAAAACTAATGCTAAAAAGAAGTTTAGGCTCATCAGTGTACTTTTGCACATTAATAATTTCTTAGTTGATTATGTTGTATCATACATTTTCCAATTATTATGTTGTGTTAAATTAAGAAAGTCAAGTATTTTCTTAAGCTTTACTTCTATGTTATCTATCTAAACAGAAAGTCACTTGCCTCACTCAACAAAGAGAATTTTGCTAAAAATAATTCTAAAATAATGAAATTAATAGAGGTTCTCATATTTGTATGGATTAGATGTTTTATAATGATTTTAGAATTTTTGTGTCTTCAACAAGTTCCATTGCATCTGCATCAACACTAGTATTCTACAGCAGCAGTCAAAAATGATCCACCAAGACGATAACCTCCTCATTACCAAAGTCTTCAAAAAACATAAGATTAATCATTTTGCTAGGTGGCATGGTTTATGAAGGTATGAACTGCAATACACTGTCTAAATGTCACTAGCTAAAACATTAACATTATCAATTTATGTTTTTGTTTTTATGTACCTAACAAAGGGCAAGAATGTAGAAATGATTTGTGATTACCTCTAATATCTACTTCTAATGATGACAGGGCTGAACTAAATTGACCCTCAAGGCAAGTGATAAGAGCTGATATAATTTCCTTTTTGGTCTCCTTAATGGAGTCAAGTTTACCAAAATCAATATTGGACAAGGTGGATATATTACTAAGTTGTCTCACTCTAAGGCCATCTACATGTTACCACATGATAAATGAAACTAACTGAACTTGGAATACAGTGAATCCTTGTTAGTATTCATTATTCACAATCCAGATGATTTTTAATATAGACTATTCTTCACATTGGGAAATGTAATTAATAATCTGTACACTTACATTCTGAATCTAAACAGTTATTTCTTATAAAAAACACTACCTTTCCTATGGATACATGATTTAGTAATCTGTGCATGACTCCACAGGTTGGGTAGGTGTCAGTCAAAACAGGAAATGAGGTAATAATTACTGACAGACCACCAAACATCTGCACTAGCTAGTGGTTACCAGTTTATGACAGTTTGTCTGAGAATGACCTTTACAGTTGTGAGTTACACTACAGTCATGTTAAATCACAGTGCTCCAAAACAAAGATGCATTGAAATATCAGCATCATTAAAATGTGATGTTTGTTTAAAAATAAAGCTAAACCAAGAGCAAATCTTGATACCGGCAGCAGGTATTTCAATGTAGAAAGAAATGTTCTCACGGGCAAGTCAACCATATCTGACATTCTTTGCAGCAAAGCAAGTAAATATTCCAGAAGATTCAGGTCAATGAATAAGAGCAAGACATTCAAAGCATACAAACATGGAGCATGGCACTATATCTTTGGATTTGTTGGATACACCTCAAGAAATGTATGTGTTAATGATGAAATGCTTGTTGAGAAAGCTAATCAATTCAGACAACAGCTTTCTGTAACAGAGTTTGAATACTCCATAGAACGGTTGCAGTGTTTCAAAGGGCATTTTTGAATAAAGAAGACGAAGCAGCAAATGCTGATCAAATGCAGTTGCTGCTGGAAGTAATGATGCTGTGTCAGCTGATCAATGATTCATCATTGATTCAGTGGAACCAACTGTTCAAGAGTTGTCAGATGGAGATGACATTTCTATGATGTCTCTTCAAGAGCATGATGTCAGTGAATCTGGCATTGAAAATGATCCACCAGTTGACCAGTCAGTCTGAATAAAGCCCAATCTATCCTTATAGACATTGTCATGTGGTTTGAACAAAACAGTGATTTGTGTGAAGATGTTGACATAATGTGTTATTTGCTTAAAGCTGTTGAGAAACAACAAAAGAAAAAAAAATTCAGTTGACAATCTGATTATGATTACATCCATTTTTTGGGAAGTGATTTGTTGTATTTTTGACGAGTTCTGTATACTTTATGTGAAGATGTTGACATAGTGTGTTATTTGCTTAAAGCTGTTGAGAAACATCAAAAGAAAAAAAATTCAGTTGAAAATCTGATTGTGATTACATCCATTTTTAGGAAGTGATTTGTTGAATTTTTGACCAGTTCTGTATACTTTGTGTTCTGTGCTTCTTATCTTTTGTTTGTAAAACAAAAAAGTAATGTGAAGATATGAAATGCCACATTGATTATGCAATTTATATAATTAGTGATGATATATATAGAATTTTAAGTTTGTAAGTTTATTATACATATAGCTGCTTTTTCTTTACCAGTTGGATGTCCACCCTTAATTATTTGAACCCTTATATTTATCATTTGATAATTCATGCTGTTAATAGTGTTTACTGTAGTCAGAATGATTGGTTTGACTATCCAGGTGCCTTGATAATCTGGAATAAATTGTTCATTACAAATTTGTTCAGATTAATGAGATTTCACTATAACTCCAAAACCATACTGAATCTAATGTCTTGAAACTTGACCAAAAGGTTCAAAATACTATTTTGTTTCTGTTCATAAATTGTGTTAGTTCTATATATATTATATTTATAGATTTTCAGTTTTTGTAATGGTATATGTAATCATTTACTGCTATAATGTTCAAAAATTAAGCCTAAGATGACAATTGTTATACTGGTAATAAATGTTATTTTCTTGTGAAAGACATAACTCAAATATCAAAAAATATTTATTATATTAATCTCAGACCAGTTTCTAATGATTATAAAGAACAAAAGGTGTATTGTTACTCACTTTAGTGACATAACATAAAAAAAATCTTCACCCCCTAACATGATTATACAGTTAATATTTGGTTTAAGCTTTGGCAGCAATGACAGCTGAAAGTTGTTTTGGATAAATCTCCACAAGATTTTCTCAGTTTGTTGGAGATATTTTTGCTTGTAGATATCCTCCAGTTCTTGTAACTTGGAAGGATGTCTTCGATGCACAGCAATTTTCAAGTCTCTCCACAGATTTTTGAGTGGATTTAGTTCTGGGCTTTGGCTTGTCCAGTCAAGGAATTTAGTTTTGTTTCTCCGAAACCATTCTTGAGTTGCCTTTGATCTGTGTTTGGAATCATTATCCTGTTAAAATGTAAACCTTCGACTGAGTTTTAGTTTTTCAGCTGACTTCTTCAGGTTTACTTTCAACATCTGTGTATATTTTGCGCTGTCCATGATCCCTTGAATACATACAAGTTCTCCATTGCCAGCTGCGCAAAAACATCCCCACAGCATTATGGACCAACCACCATGCTTGACAGTTGGGACTGTATTTG